GGGACTGCTCTCATGGTCCCTTCCTGTTTTTCTTCTCCACGGCTTGAAGGCAAAGTTGACTTTGGCATTGGAGCTCTGTCCTTTATCCCAGATTGCTGTTCACCCCAGCCCTCCCCTTGCGTCTTCACTGGTCCAGCGGAAAGCCCTGCTCACCCGTGTCCTGCCCCAGGGTATCCTTCCCCAGGGCAGCTGGGACTGCAGCACCAGCACCAAGCACTGAACTTGCTCCTTCCTTGGGGTCCCCAATGCCCGTATGCCACATCTACAGACTGCTGGCGCGGGGAGCGGAGCGGAGCCACAGTGCAGGCAGGCAGGACTTGGCAGTGGCATGCAGACCTCTCGCCTGCTCTTGGTATCTCCAGCTGCCAAATAGGTGACAGATCCTGTCTCTAAAGATTCCACCAGAGAGGAAAGGAGTGACCCTCCGGGGCCAAGGGCAGCAGGATGCAGTGATGAGGACCAGATGTACATCTCCTTCCCTCAAGCTGCCCTGGTCACCAGAACTGGGTGTCCCCACTGCCCGGTCAGTCAAGCCCTAGCTAATGACAGGGACACAGGGCTTGGCACACGGGGACAGCACAACTATGGGTCCCCTCTGACTGTCATTTCTCATCTACCCACCTGAGCTTGCCTGCACAACGCAGGCACATGTTCCCTTGTGGATGTGTGAGGCTGCAGGGGTCTCTGCTCTCCCCAGCCAGCAGCAACCCCCTCCTATTTGGAATGTGCCTTGGCTTTCTGGAGTTTATAAGCAGGCAGGATATGGGGGCCAGCACCGCCAGCTCACACTCTCTCCCATTTTCTGGCCATTGTGCTTCTGTGTCTCGAGCAGGCGTCAGCCTCTAAACCAGCACCAGGTGCCGAGAAACCACTGAGCTCAGCTTACAAACGCTGGAGTCACAGCTACGGGGTAGATATGACCTGCATTCAACAGCATCCTATGGACAACCACAGTCCTGATCCCCTCTACCATGGCAGAGGGGTGGGATCTGGTGGTGATAAGAGCAGGTTTCCAAGCAGAAAGGGCTGCCCATGCCATGCTGGGGAACAAGGGGAGACAAGGTTGACTGTGACACATCAGAAAGGGTGCTGGCTGGGTTGGATGCTGGGGACCAGAGCCCAGCAAGTGATGGTAGCATGGCACAGCTGAATCTGGCAAATTCTGGGATGCACCTGGAGGAAGGGATGTGGCTGTTGGGCCCAGAAACCCAGGCAGGATCTGGCCACTTATACCTCTCCAGCTTGGTGACCTGCCTTACTTGCTCCGTGGAAAGCCCTGCTCCTGGCCAAGGATGGTGCCACACCAGTAGCACACCGTAGATGGAGGGCTGAGCCCCATCTTCCCCATCCAGGGTGAGTGCACTCCCCAGGGGCAGCGAGGGGCTGGGAACCCACAGAATCAACCACCAGCACGGGCAGCCCCCATGTCCCTGGGGTGGGAGTGCAAGGGCACCCAGCAAGGACAGAGGTGTCTGTGGGCACATAAGCCTTTGGAAAAGGAACATCTCTGCCCTGGGCCCCTCCAACCCAGTCCTCATGAGGACCCCTTCGGGCGGTCCCCACCCTCCAGGTTCCCCCTCCACCCCGGGTTCAAGGGCAGCTCCGGTACCCAGCCGGGAGCGACACATCTCCCTGGCGGGGTGGGCACAGCAGCCCACCCTGTGTCGGCTCTGCTCCCTGCGCTCCCCTGCGCCGCTGCTGCCTGACTTTCCCCCCAGCCCCATCTGGATCTCATCGGGCTGCTGGCGCTGAGCACCAAGGTTGGGAGATGCCAACAGATGGAAGCCATTAGAAGGGCCGGGTCGACGCAGGGGGAGGGGGGCCACATGCTGAGCAAGGGGGGCTGTGCAGAGGGTCCCGTTCCGGCTGCTGAGCTGGCGAGGGCAGTGGAGATGTCCCAGGCAGCTGCCTGCATCCTCTTCTGGCACTCAGCATGGACTGGCCTGCGCAAGGGTCTCTCTCCGCCCCTGCAGGCGCCTGGGAAGGGGGCTGACCTGTTTGGGTACCAGCCCTGCTGCCTGCCCACCTCCTGCAAGGGCCGTCCCCGAGCTGGCATCTCACCTGGTGCCACTCACCTCTTCCCTGGCCCAGCACCATCTGCAAGGCGGGGCTAGCCTGGGCAGTGCCAACGCTACCCCCTTTATTGGCATCACTGCTCCATCCAGCTACGGCACGGTGGAGAGGGGCAGAGGGAGGGGGGGGGTGTCCCTTCTGCCTGCTGGTGGCTGGTGGGGGGTGACGGGCAGGGCTCAGCACCCCCTGCTCACTGATGCCCGGCACCCCTGGGAGCCTGCACCCATGATCCCCTTGACACTAGGCAGTGAAGTGGGGCTGGCTCAGTGTCTTATCCCCATGTGTTAAGCAGCTCTCGGCGGTGGGGGTGGCCCACCGCCCTGAGTCGGAGGTGCCTCCAGATGGCTTCTGGCAGGCACGGGCAGCCCAAAGCTCCTGGGAGCAGAGCATCTCTCCTTAGGGTCCATCCTGCACCCCCAGGGTGCTGGGGGCTCCGGCAATGTCCACGGCTGTGGGGTGACCCAGGAGGCATGGGGTCCTTGGGTGCCAGCAGCGGCATCAAGTCCCATGCGTGGGCAAGCAGGTGCAGGGAGCTGGGATCGGCCAGAGCTCACTACAGGATCTGGGCCTCTGCCGAAAGAAAAGGGAGAGGGTCAGGGGGGGCACTGACCTGCCCCTTTGCTTCTGCACTCCCGCCCCTGCATTCCCCCCATCACCCTCCCTGCACCCCAACTCACTCGGCAGTGCCTTCAAGTGGGTGGCAGCAACCAAGAAGTTGTGGGGTTTGGTCTTCTCCTTGCCGTGTTTCCTCACCCGGAGCCTGGGGACAGAGCAGCAGTGGCTGAGGACCCTAAGCAGCCCTCCTGGGCACCAGGACTCCCTGCATCCCTGGTGATCCCACTCTGCATCCTCATCCAGCTGTGCCCAGCTGAGCCCCAGCACTCCAGCGGGTCAGCTCCAGGGCTACAGCAGGAGCTGGTCATGAGATACAGCAGGGCTGGGATGGGGACGAGGACCGACAGCAGAGCCACACACTGTGTGGCAGGGAGAGGGTGGACCCGGGGACAGGACCAGCGGGCAGTCCCGGGGGCAGGACTCCCAGGGAGCAAAGACATGTGGGGGGGTGTCTGCACTGACTCGAGAGCGTGAGAGTCCCTATCAAGGCAGGAGCCTTTCGGGGACATGTTAGTAGCAGCAGCATCTTTGGGGGATACAGAGAAAAGTCCCATGGATGTGGGCTCATCAGAAAGACCCCAGGCAGGCTGGGCAGTACCACAGCTGGTGGGGTGTGCTGGGAAAAGACATTGATGTGGCAGAGGGAGCATAAACCACCTGATGGGGTTGGCATCATGTCTGTTTGCACAGCGACCCCAGAGCAGGGATGTGGGGACACGGGGCACCCCATGCTGAAGGTTCGGGGACCAGAGTGTGATGGAGACAGCAATCACACAGACACCTCCCTCTGAAAACCCAACCTACCAGATGAGGATGGTGATGACGAGAACAGCAGCCAGGACGAAGAAGGCGAAGATCCCGAGCGACACCAGGACGGCCATCTTCTCCAGGGGGTCACTGCGGTCTGGGACAGAGAGACTGTCATGGCCAAGGGACGCCACAGGCCTCGGCACCTGTAGGATCCTATTGCAAGCTACTGGACAACCCAGCCACACACAGGCAGGGGGCAAGAGATCCTTCCCATTACTCTCAGCCACTCGTGTGCCCAGGCAGGCAGCTGCCCATGGGCAGTCCCCACTCCTGCCCACCAGCCCCAGTTCTACTCACTGATGGGCTCAGGGTTGGGAGCCTGGGAGGGCTCCTCGGCCAGGCTCTCCAGGCTGGCATCTGTAGTGGTTTCTTCACTTGCTGTGGTGGCCAGGTCTGGAACGATGGGAGATAGGAAACACTCAACCAAAAGCACGGGCAGCACCCCATGGACCCACAGAGAGGAGCAAAGACCCTTGTGCCCGAGGGGTCCCACGAGCCCAAAGGTGCCCACAGGGTGCTAGTGGTGCTCCGAGAGCCCTGCTCTGCCCAAAGGCTCTGGGGGTCAATCCCCAAATGGCAGCAGCATGGCTGCAGCCTGCTGTGGGGCTGGGAGATGCTTTGCCCCTTTGCAACTCTGCACCCCACCATGGGGCCAGTTTTTGGATGGTGCACGGGACCAGCTTTTTAGGTCAACCTTAAGGGACCCCAAGAGCTGGGACTTGCTCTGGGTGATATTTGGGGGAATGGGTGCCATGGGGAAGGGGCTGGACAGGGGCAGCCCGGTGTGCTGGAGGGGTTTTGGGGAGGGATGGCACAACCCAGTAGGGCTACTGGGGGCTGCAGCTGGTCCCCCTCGCACCTCTGACCGGTGTCGCCCGGGCCTCGGCGCTCCACTCGCTCCAGTTCCCTGCATCCAGGAAATCCTTGGCGCTGACTTGGACCACGTGCTCCAGCCCAGCAAAGGCATCCGTGATCACCTCGGACAGGTTCACTGTCTCCACCTGCACCGGGCAGAGGGGAGCTGTGGGGCAGGTAGGGGCACCCCTCGCCGCCCTCCCTGGCCCCATGCCCACCTCGCTTTGGGCTTTGCCTCTCCTTGCCCCCCGCTTACCACGGACCAGGAGCGGTGGATGACGGGCCGGTACTGGAGCCGAAATCTGAGCTGGAAATGGGGTTCTTTGGGCCAGGAGGAGGGGTACTTCCAGCTCACGTGAAGCCGCCGTGGGGCCAAAGGGATGGGCTCCACCACCAAGCCCTCCGGAGGGTCGGGCTTAACTGTGTGGGAGAGGACAGGGAGCCCTTGTCACACCGGACTGCCATGCAGAGGGGTGTTTGGCTCCCCGCTGCCACCCAGGGCTGTGTGCCTGTGGGATGGACGGACAGATGGATGGATGAGGGACTCACTGATGGCCTGCATGGTGACGTCGAGGAGGCGGAAGCTAGAGCCCAGGGGGTTCACCTCGGTGATATTCAGGCGGTAGGAGCTCCAGAACTCTGACCCGTGGACGGTGCAGGTGCCGGGGCGGGATGGATCCTGCAGGCACAGCCCCACATGCCCGTTCTTGTTCCTGCAGATGGGGAGGCAGAGTGGTGACATGCCCCCCCCGCCCGCCGTGCATAGTTTCCCTGTGCTGCCAAGGTGGTGGCATGTGGGGAGACCCCCCATGTCAAGAGCCTTGTGGAGGCAGCGTGCTCAGACAGGGTCCGGCAGCTGCCCTCTCCCCTCCACAGCTCAACATGTCCCTCCGAGAATGACTGAAGTGACCCCCATCTCGGCCCCACAGTCCCTCCTGGGAAGGTCCCTCCCCTGGGGAAACCCCTTCTCCCAGGGCCCTGGGCTTAGGGAGTTGGTATCCCCCAGAGGAACACCCAGCCCTTGCCTCAGGGACCCCACTGAGGACAGTGGCAGAGCCTTTGAGAGGGGGGTCGGTCCCCAGGCAGTGGGACTGGAGTGGCACTCAGTCCTACCTCCACTTCTCTTCACCCGTCAGTGATTTCTTCCTGCCGTGGAGATGGAAAAGCAGATGGTGAGAATGAGGGGACAGCATGAAGCCAACCCCCCCGTGACCCAGAGGAGGCGCAGGGGTCTCTGCGCCGCAGATGAGCCCCTGACTCTCACATTGATGCCCACGGATGACATGGCACAGGGGATGGCGCTAAACCCATGCCCAGCCCTGCTGGCGAGCAGCCTGGCAGCAGAAGCAGGGGGTCTCAGGGGAACAAGACAGCAGAGTGCCCAGGAGCATCGTCCCCAGAGGACCCCCTTGCCCACCTGGGGTTCACCGTGCAGCAGCAGCAAAGGCACGGGGACATTGATAAAAGCTCCCCAGCAGCTGGCTTCGTGCTCACCCTACAGCCCCCAAACCCCTCTGCTTCCCACAGCCCCCTCCCCGCCGAGCCCCCAGCTCCTGCAGCTTTCAGCGAGCCTGTGCTTTGTGAGCTCCGGCTGACTTCAAAGCAGCCTGCTAATTTGGCCTGCTGGGATAATTAGAAGCAGCGATGCTGCTGGGGCTCCTTTCATCCTGAAGCATGCCAAAGTGCTCGGGCGGCTTGCCGATGACCTGCTTCTCTTTTATAGCCCCTCTGGTGCTGGCAGACCCGTCGGCAGGGAGGAAGCCAGCCTGTGCCGGTCCCCCGGCGCTGCTGGGGGCCACCCTCAGAGCAAGAAATTACTTGGTGCACTGCTCACCCCAAAACATGACCTACTTTGGGGTGCAGCCTGGTCCCTGGGCTAGGAGGTGAACCCAGGGCATTGGTCAAATGGCCAGCAGGATTTGGTAGCTGTCCTTGGCTGGGACCCAGGGCTCACCCCGTAAACCCCCCAGCCCGTACCCTGTAGGGATGTATCACCTGTAGGTGGTGATGTATCTGGTGGGGAGGAAGGTCTCCATGCTGGAGGTCCAGGAGCAGGAGAAGTTCTCGTAGTCGGATGCTCTGCAGGACACAAAGGGGACCCCTGGCAGGTCTGGGGTCCGAGGGGAAGTGACAGTGAGCGAGGGGTCCCCTGTCCTGCAGCCCAGCTGGCATGCAGGGACCCTTGTGTCACTGCAAAGACCTTTCTTGGCAAGCTGCTGCCAGGGGCGTGGGCACTGCAGGCCCATCCTGGTGGGGCCGCACACCCCCATACCCCAGCCCATGGATATGCTACTCACGCCCCAGCCGCAGGGACACGGCGGGCAGGAGGC